TTTTAGTGGACCGCGTTTATATATGCGGCTCAGTGCATTAGCTACTTCTGTTGAATCTTTCGAGGTTAATGGCTCAGCCTCTTTGTATCAACAAGCCACATCCACTACGGTTAAAGCGTATTTATACGTTTTGCGTCTAACCTTATCATGGGGAAGAAACAAGAGGTCAGCCTGATGAACTTCATTCGTTGTAAAAATATCAAACTTCTTCCTCGGTATATAACGCGGTGCTGGTAAGTATATTTGCCACATCGCTTGTTTCTTTAACCAATCCTTGGCCACATCTTTAGATACCTTAGCCGCAGTGGTTAATTTTTGTATTGCTCATATACCTTTCCAATATCCTTGTGGGCTATAGTAAATTTTATTCATTATTAATTAATATTGATGTTTCTTTTAATACGAATCATGACGATCGTTAAATCGCATCAGCGGTTACACATAAAAAATTCCCCCTGTGGTGGTGGTATAGGTATATAAATCTGGCTCCAGTGGAAGTGGTCCACAATCCCCATTACCTATACTACTGCGTCTCCGACAGTTTCCTCGACAGCATTGTTCCTGCCTACATGAAGTTGTTTCTGCTAAACTAAGCTGTTGACTTTCACCTGCCCACCTGTTACTACGCCGATATTTGCTCATCCTACAACTACAAACAAATGTACAGTTTTGGCAAAAGACAGTGCCTCCACTGCAAGTATGACAGCTACTGCTACCAGTCCTCCCAGGAATACCCAACCTTCAGCTGAGTGTCGTTTGTCATTCCCGACTCCCCAATGGGATGATTTAGTACTCGCTGAAGAGGCCGTCCTATCACAGAACACAATCTCTTCCCAGAGGCCTCCAGTAGTATCGAACCTTGTAGACTTAGAAACCTCGTCTTCACCCTCCCCTTCACCTACAGAAGGAAGAGCCAAGATAGATCATGCCCCTCTGACCAGGATCAACACCGACATTCAAAGGTTCGATATTTGAGGGATCGATATTTGAGAGACTGACATTCTGTAGATCTACATCGCTCGACATTGTACTAATGAAGACTGTCGCGATGAATCTTCGGATCAATATCGTTCATCAGATCGATCCTACCTTTTATGGCAAGATTGATCTACCTCTACAAGCTGCTTGGATCACCATCGATGTCAGGACTGCTCTAAATCTTTTGACTAAGAATGCAATGACATGGCTTTCAACATTCATCCAGGGGTCAACATTGAAGTAACGTTTATAGGAATCGCCATCACAGCTTGGATCAATACCCCTCCCCAATGGAGCGATACTGTCACATGTGCTTCTACCCTTAAGCATCGCCTGCGTTATGCATTGATTCCCATCATATCAGGATTACAGATCTATTTCTGATTACTTTAGCTATACACCACATTGGGAGCGACATCAGTATGCAGATTGTTGTGACCTCCATCTCATCCTTGAGGTTCCTCCCCTGTCAACAACAGTTCGGATCGACTTCCTGAAGCAGATCGATATCGCTTCTACCCATATCTCTCAACAACCCTCTCCTAGGGTCAACATCAACATCGATATCGGGGGACATGTTCTATCTTTTAACGATGTCAGCAATGTCACCAACTCTCCGAAACAGATTTATAAGCCCAAATCTGCTATTGTCAAGCATTCGGTGGATTGGCTTTTCAAGGCATTGAAGAATTATGTACTATCGTCAGCCAAGAAACCTAAATGAACAGGCAAGATTGCAAATTTATTACCGAGCAAGATAGACATGATCAAGGAAATGAAGATCGACTGGATCGTGTGCCTCAATCTCGACAGAGATTTGACGATTTCATCATTTCTGACTTATTTACACGCATCAAATATCAAGGAGATCAATTTGCTAATGCAACAGTCACGTCACACATTCTACAGGGAACTGGCGGTACATATCTCTTCAGAACTCGGGAGTCCTTTTTTTGTCCATCTGCTATACAGTTCTCTCATGTGGTAGGTGTGTGTGGAGCTTATGACCAAGTGTTAGGCAAGACCATGACGTGACGTGACATTGTTCCCAACAACACATGACCTGTGCATCACCTCATAACACCGGGTATGGCAGGGTGTGGGTGTGTGACCAGATGGCCAGAATTTCCATGTCAACACCTTTTGAGTTCAAACAGTAGTGTTAGTGATGACGGACAAATTTTGAAATATGCCGTGCCTTTATGTCCTAAGCCTGGGCTGTAGGGTGGGTGATTTAACTGTACAGCCCAGACTTAGCCCCCAGTGACTATTTCCTGTTCCGGCAAATGAAATCTGCCCTACGAGGAAGCAGTGTCCAACCCAGAATTAAAAATCAACTTGTTCCCCCACTTGTAGAAAATAGGAGGGATTTTGAAAAAGTAGAGGGGATAATTGCTTTTTTCAAAAATGTCTTATTTTGTATTATGTACTGGAACATCATCATATAAAAGTGTAACAGATCAGAATAAAGAACTGAAATGAATAACAATGCTTTGTGCTTTTTTCTATTTTGATTAAAAAAGTCTGTAATTCTTTTGTTTTTGCGCGACATGGTCATTTACTATTCAATAGATGGTCTGCTATGATAGTCGGCGATTCATATTGTGTGATTTCAGAAACGAAACTAAAACGAACTAAAATGCTCAAAAGTATTTTCAGAACTATTCAAGATAGAATATTTATTGTCTTTAAACATCTTGTCAAAGGTTTTTGATTACTAAACAACAAAATACAACATAATTTTGATCAAAGTTTTGATACGTATTCAACTAAAGTAAATCAAATTTTGTTTCCTATGCCAAGCCTATCGATAATTTATTCAGCAACCCAAGGGACGTCACTCGTGTTCGAACTTCCGGTTGTTATCAATCGGTCTTTGACAGTTGTTTACAACGTTTGCTGTGAACTGTCTTTCTTCCTTAATTGATTAAAGATTTAGTGAGTACATGTATTGAATCTAAAGGTAGGGATAAACAGCTGATAAAGTAAGTGACTGTACAAGAAATTACTGTGCGCGACAGATCGCGTTTTGATTTTTTTATGAGGGGCGATTTGATTTTTTTAGGGTGAATCGCGCAATCGCGCGGCCTGGGTTGGACACTGCGTGGAAGACGCTTCCAGGATGATGAGGACATAAAGGCTGCCTCAGAGGCCTGGTCAGAGGGCCAATTTGTGGATTTCTATAAAAGTGGTATTAAAAGCTTGAAGGACAAATGGAATAAGTGTATTGAGGTGAATGGAGATTATATTGAAAAATAAAAGTGCAAAAGATATTCTATGACTTTATCTTATATTGAAGTTTTAGAACTTATTGAACGCCCCTCGTACCTTTGGTTCTTCAAAAGTTGGCGTCCACCATCCAACTTCAACTGCTTTTGGTCTCACCCTACTGGCCAGTTTGAAGTTGGTTTACAGTGCAGGTAAACATGGTGTGACATCTCCTTGCCCGGTTAGAGCTCTCCGCATCTACCTCAAGGCTGCAACGCCATGTTGGCACAACCGCAGGAAACCCGTCATCCCACTTTTCATGGCGGCCACCATGGAAGTCTGCCTTACCATTTCTCCTTTTGGCTCTGCTTGACTATCCTTCAGGCCTACGCCTTCTCTGGCTTTCCTCCTCCTGTGACATCCAATCCACATGAGACGAGAGCTGTCACCTCTACCATGGCCTTGCACAACAACTGCACACTGTCTGCCATTCTGGAGGGTTATTATGGAGGTCCAACACTATCTTTGCTTCCCACTGTCTACATGACATCTCAGTTACCAGTGTTCAGGGCTTCCAACAGTTTGGTCTCTTGGTCCTGGCACAACAATTGAGGCTGCACAGCAGCGCAGATAGACGATACTATGCACCTGCTCCTGCAGCCCAGTACTCTGTATCCTGTACATACAAAATAATCATTGGCACGTCCTTCCTTTGATTGATTGATAGCTTTGACAGAGCATTAACAGAGATACCAAGCTGGCTCACCCTGTTGTCCGTAGTGGTCTGGTGTGGTCTGTCTGAGTGATTTTAGCACTGATTTCCTGGAGACCTCTTCAGGATTGGTTATAAGTCATAAGCTGAATAGATCTCTAATCAAAGCCATGCGGTCATTCGTGTAACGATGTCGTACATGAAAACACGAAACAAGTGTAATACCTGATTTCCTGATGTTACATCTGTCTCGCTTAAAGGGCTCACATTGCCTGTTAGGTGTTTTTACCCATTCACGAGTTACTTTCTTTACAACACTAGACAGTGTTGTAGATTCTGTTATTTGTATCACTGTTTAGTATTAGCTTCACTCGTGTACGTCTCACGGTTGTAGCCTATGCAGGTTAGGGTATCTGCTCTCCACCGTCCAACGCTGGGATAAATGCAGAGTGTGAGATAGGATAAGTATGAAAATTTGTAAATTTTACATTAAATTGTATATTTATATACTTATCCTATTTAACATACTATGTGCCCACCCGAACAGCCCTAAGAAAGAGAATGATGTGACAGGGTTAGATCAAGTCGTGAAAGGTCACATGGGATTAAAGTGTGTGACCCATTTGTATGGGTGTTGGCCATGGTGATGCTGGGATGTGTTCGGCTGAAAACTTTGTTCAAACCATTTCCACATTAGGATCGAAAGAAGAAAGGAAGAAATGCGTAATGTGAGATAGGGTAAGTATATAAATATACCATTTAATGTAAAATTTACAAATTTATTGTTGTGTATGACGATACAGATCCGTATATATCATGTATCGTATCGAGGGCCTCATATCACAATACACAGGATACACCTATAGTATACACCAATTGAGGGCAGACCACTACCAACAACCATCTGAAACTTGAATGTGTTTAACCTTCACAAGCATGTTTCAGAAAAAGTTAACAGCATACAAGAATTGATTTTGATATATGGAGTGAGTGAGTAAATTAGAAGTTTACAAATCATCAGTTGAGATATGGAACTGATGAATAGTGTTATCAAACTGTCAATTGTATAGTCCAAATTTAGTTCTGTGTTGTGTTTTTTCAGACAGGACCAAAGGGTGTGATCCGTGACTGGCGTGAGTTTAAACAGCTTGAAACAGAAAAGAAAGAAGGTCAAGAGGCACAGAAACAAAAGCTTGTGACAAAATTGTCATTGACATGTCGCTCATATGTAAGTATGCTTGATTATCCATTTCTTACAGGTAGAGTTGTATGAAGATGGTATGTTGTGGGTAAGAGTACAGATATTTCTGGCACAGCTAATGTTTTGGCACATTGATATTGAGATTGAGGTTCAATAAACACAGGCAGAGCAGGGAGACTCTCAGTGCCCATGACGTAGTTCAACATGATTGTAAATACTAGTACTATTTAGTCAACAGAATAAACACCAAAATTGTGTTGTTTTTAGGAAAATGTTATGTATTGTTTTAGCGGAAGTGCTCAGTGCTAAAAAGCGGTGCTATTTCGTGTGTGATTTGATTTAGGTAAGGTTAGATTAAGGTGAGGATTCTGTAAACCTGATAGAAGCCATTTTCTTTATATGTAAATCCATTGAGGCTTTTGGGGCGGGTGGGGAGTTGCATCTCGCATTTTTGTCTAGGGGCAAACAGTCGCATTTTAGACGCATTTAGACGCATTTCAAGATTTGCAGTACCTCAATGTACCAGTCCACCCCAGTGACAGGAGATACTTTGTTCTTTCACAACATCGTCATTATCCGTGGCAGTCCCCCCATTTGTGGGGTTGTTTATCAACTTCTTCTCCACTCATTCCTTGACATTTATAGGGGGCATCTTCCAAAGGCTCAGGGGCGGTCGGGTAGCCTAGTGGTTAAAGCGTTCGCTCGTCACACCGAAGACCCGGGTTCGATTCCCGACATGGGTACAATGTGTGAAGCCCATTTCTGGTGACCCCCGCCGTGATATTGCTGGAATATTGCTAAAAGTGGCGTAAAACCATACTCACTCACTCACTCCAAAGGCTCAGCTTGCCTAATGTCGACTTGTGTGCCAAGAGCCTCAACTGTCAGTTTCCGGTTTAATACTCTCCAGCTCGAAATCCACTTGTGTAAACACACTTGCCATCTTGTGGGAAAGTCTCAACACTTCCAGAAAATCAATCCAGAAATCCAAACATCCAACCTTCGTCTGATTTTGGTCTCTCCTTACTGGCTGGCCAGAAGCTGATACCCGATCAAGTGGTGTTAGCCGAGATCCAGCCTCTACAAGTGAGAGACGAGCTGAAGTAACTGCTCCACCGGCAGTGTACGCCACACCCACAACCAGATGTGTTCTCTCCATCTACAGAAAGACTTGAAGACGATAGACTATTTCAAACGGACGGCACAAGCAGTTATTTGGGCTCATTGTCTGTCTACTACATGTCTATACAATGACAAGTAGAGTTTCTCTAGACATTTTGCTTGCAACGACAGAAGGAGCTTATGACAGCTACTCAGCAGTTTACTGCTGACTAGTTGGTCTAGTTGGGTTTTGAACATTGTGCTGCAGCACTTACGTCAACAGCTGGATGAACCTCTCATCAGGGAAGTGGTTGAAACCCTTACCAGAAATGTGGTAGTCTGTCCAAAGGTGTTTTATGGGATTTCATTGCAAAAAACAGTCACCAGGACAACCAGACCAGCACTTTACAGTGCCACCTTTGGTTTCACATGTAGGAGCGTGAGGCAGGCAACCATCACAAAATCCTGGCGATTGCCTCAACAAGGGATCTCCACGGCAACATACCTGGATAGATGGATGGATGATTTGGGAGACTGGCCACTTCTTGGCAGTTGACAATGTGGAGAGCATCCATAGTTTTGATGTGTTGGTTTTTTACAGCAGATCACCAACCCCCAAACATCTCTGGTTGTTCAACCCCGGACACTGCCACCTGACCATGCACCTCTTGCAGGAGTATGGCGGGGACCATTGGTTATGACATTCATGGTGCATCTAAACAATATATTCATTTTGTCTGTCAAATTCTGGATGATATTTGTCCATAATACCAGAACTTCCCTCTCTTGGAAGAGTTTCGACGGGACACAAGGGTTGTGACATTTGTGGTATGTCTAAAAAATGTATCCATTTTTGTCCATCAAGTTCGAAAGTGTGATTATTCTATCCCTGCATTACCACAGTGGCATTGATTCTATTTGATCATAATATGACTTGTGACTTACAAGAGGGATACCAAACAATCGGGGTCCTGCTCCAGTCTCCACCTGCATACAGTTTGCAGTAGCTGTTGGTGTGCAAGGATTCTCGTCTGATGTTACTACACCCACCCACATGATCTGTCAGGTAAAATGCAATTGTAATGCAGGATAAGTTAAGATTTATTAATATCTAATATATTATATATTTAATACTTATCCTGCATTACATGTCGAACGGGCCCACCTGGGCTGGTTCTGCCAGTATGGAAGTATGAACTGGCTAGTCAGGCACTTGGGCAAGCAGTTTAAACCTTCTTTGGGAATAGTTTTTCTCAAAGGATGACATTTCAAGTCATGTTTTCACATGAAACAGAAGGTAATGCAATATGTAATGCAAGTATTAAATATAAAGTGTGTTAGACAAGTGTGAACTTTCTCCTCTAACTCATGGTCAAGGTATGGCCACCATACCAAACTACGAGCTACTGACTTCATAAGTGATATCCCTGGGTGAGCTTCATGCAACATATCAATCACTCGTTTGCGTCCTTGTGGTGGAATGATGATGCGATTTTGCCACAGAACACATCCATGCTGAACACTGAGTTCAAGTTTACGCTTCATATATGGACTGAGCTCATCTGACTTGTCCAAACTATCTGGCCATCCACTGTGTACAAATGTTCGTACCCGTGACAATGATTGATCTCTGTCTGTCCACGTCTTTACCTGTTGCACTTTTACAGGAGTTGATTCCATACTTTCAATCAGATGTATGGTGTCTCCAGGTAATGGAGGGTCTGGTCCTACTTGAGGCAATGGAAGTCGACTCATACAATCTGCATTTGCTATCACTGTGCCTTTTCTGTACTCTATAGTATAGTTGTAGGCTGAAAGCGCCAAGGCCCATCTCTGTATTCTACTGGATGACTTTGGTGATATTCCTTTGTCTGGATTGAAGATACTTTCCAGAGGTTTGTGATCTGATATGAGCTTGAATGAACGTCCATATAGATATTGATGAAAATTCTTAGTTCCGAAGATTATAGCTAACGGTTCTCGATCCAGCTGTGAGTAATTCTTCTCGGCTTGAGTAAGTGAGCATGAAGCAATCACTTTTGGTTTCTCAGAGCCATCATCAAAGATGTGAGATAGCACTGCTCCTACCACATAAGGTGAAGCATCGCAGGCAAGTGTGATCTGCTGTTTTGGGTAAGCTGCTCAATGACAAGTGACGTTTCACAGCTTTAAAAGACTTCTCTTCATTTGGTCCCCATTTCCACGATAAATCTTTCCTGAGCAATTGATTTAGCGGAGCAACTATAGTGGAGAGGTTAAGCAAGAACTTCTGGTAATATTGTACCAGCAGTGTCCAACCCAGAATTAAAAATCAAGGGGGGACTTGTTCCCCCATCATGTAGAAAATAGGAGGGATTTTGAAAAAGTAGGGGGGATAATTGCTTTCTTCAAAAATGTCTTATTTTGTATTATGTACTGGAACATCATCATATAAAAGTGTAACAGATCAGAATAAAGAACTGAAATGAATAACAATGCTTTGTGCTTTTTTCTATTTTGATTAAAAAAGTCTGTAATTCTTTTGTTTTTGCGCGACATGGTCATTCACTATTTTTCATAATTTTGATCAAAGTTTTGATAAGTTTTTACTAAAGTAAATCAAATTTCATTTCCTATGCCAATCCTATCGATAATTTATTCAGCAACCCAAGGGACGTCACTCGTGTTCGAACTTCCGGTTGTTATCGATCGGTCTTCGACAGTTGTTTACAATGTTTGCTGTAAACTGTCTTTCTTCGTTAATTGATTAAAGATTTAGTGAGTATTGAATCTAAAGGTAGGGATAAACAGCTGATAAAGTAAGTGACTGTACAAGAAATTACTGTGCCTGACAGATCGCGCTTTGATTTTTTTATGAGGGGCGATTTGATTTTTTTTAGGGTGAATCGCGCAAACGCGCAGCCTGGGTTCGACACTGTACCAGTCCCAGGGCAATAATGCAGTTTACCGGGCGCAGCCCGAGCTCTACCATCCGCTCAATTACCGCGCTATAGTGCCACCGCTGTCTCCTTATACCGCTATCGTGCCTCACGCTCTTGTGACTCTCACTTCACGACCCAACACCCGTTTTCGGTCTTAGGGAAACTTACACATCTTTACAATCATACACCCCCTTGGTCTTAGGGAAACTTACACATCTTTACGATCAAACACCCGTTCTCGGTCTTAGGGAAACTTACACGTCTTTACGATCCAACACCCGTTTTTCGGTCTTTGGGAAACTTACAACGTCTTTACGATCCAACACCCGTTTTCGGTCTTAGGGAAACTTACACGTCTTTACGATCCAAAACCCCTTTCGGTCATTAGGGTTAGCTTGCTTTGGGCAAGGATTAGCCATAAATTCTTACCTTTTCAAGCGTTAATCCGGTTAATCCCATTGGTCGGTCATGTTGACATAAACAATTGCGGGTGTGGTTTCAAGAAAAGATGAATGGGAGAGCGGACCGTGACGTCACACACATGCGCAATTCATTGTTTACTGAATTACGCATGCAAGTCAATAGTGATTCTAATGACCCGTTAAACGAGCACTGATTACATGTGATAGCACATGTGGTCCTGTGGTAGAGCGTCGGCTAATTAACGCATCAATTAGCAGAGCCGGTGAGCCGGCGAAGCGCGTTTGAGTCCCCACAGTGCTAATTGGATCTGAAAAAGTGCGCCCGGTAAAGTGCACTACTCCCAGTCCCAGAAATGATTTCAGTTCCTTGGTATCTCTAGGTGCTGGAGCCGCTACCATGGCTTGCACTTTTACATCCAAAGGATGTAGTCCTTTCTGCATCTATTCTGTGTCCCAAATACTCTACAGATTTGGCCATAAACTTACATTTCTGCCCATTGAGTCGTAACCCTGCTTTACTGTCTGGATAAAACAGTCTAAATGTTCCCCAGATGTTGACGTTCAGTCTCTCCACTGATCAGTA